CATGGCCGAGCAGCCCTCCAGCTGCCGATCGGCCAGAACGGGTGGTTCACAGGCTTCGTTGACCCCATGTTGCAGCTGTTTTGACCACTCATTTTGAGCAAGTCGCGACTCAGGTGGGTGGGGTAGTGGTGCTTGGTGTCGTGGGGTGGTTCACTGCCGGCCTCACGCCGACTTTGAAGCGCCAAAGCGAGCCGCCATCGACGCCGATCTACGCGATGAAGGATGGGACTCATCAGGGAAAAATAAAAGTAAAATCAGAGTACCGGGGGAAAAGACGGTGCGGGGAGGCTTAAGGGGCGTCGCGGGGTCGCAAAAGTCGTCCAAAAGGGCCCCTGGCCGAAAAGGCCCAGTTGCACGCACGACCCAGGTTGGGTCGTTGTGGTGCTGCAGGGCGGCCATGGGCGGCGGGGTTGGTCATAGGGTTCATGGGGGGTCGTGCGCTGCGTCGGGCACGGTCGGGGTAGCGTCGGGGGGCCACTGCTAGGTGCTGGAGGGGCTCCCGAAGGCCCGTGGCGCCGTCGACGCGTCCGTACGCGCACTCTGGAGCTACATCTCAGCATCTTGTTCCTCTTCCTCGTCGTCATCGTCGTCGTCGTCGTCTTCTTCGTCGTCGCCTTCTTCTTCATCGTCATCTTCCTCCTCGTCGTCCGCGTCGTCGTCTGACAGCGAATCGGGCTCGAGGAACGCTTCGGCAGGATCCCACGCGCGGCTGTCGCTCTTGCCGCGAGCCCGGCGCGTCGCCGGCGTGTTCTTGTTCCGCTGGGCCTTGCGAGTGCCGCCGGGGGACGCGCCGTCGTCCTCCTCCTCGGACGAGCTCGACTCGACGAGTTCCGGTTCTTCGCCCCAGATTTGAAGGGCAAGCGGCTGTGTTGAGGTCCCTGTTGAAGTACAAGTTGGAGCGGCGTTTAACATATCCCGCCGGCGGGATATGTTATCTCCTTCTCACACATATATAATTCCGCGTGCGCCTTCATCTTCCGGACGACCGCGACGTAGAGCCCGTTCCACCACGGGTTCGGCAACTTGAGCACGCTGTGCTCGTTGATGGATGCGCCGTTCGCGCGCCCGCCCCCCAGCACCTCGCCGTAGACGACGTCGTAGCCGAGTCGAGCGAACGCGTCTCGCGTGCCCAGGCGGACGGGCTCGTGGTTCCAGTCGTCGACGAGCGCCACGAAGACGTCCTCGAGGGCTTCGTCGAAGTGCGTGAACGCGCGGAACTGGTCGTCGTACTCGTGGTCGCCGTCGTAGAGGTACCTGCGCGGGCGACGGTCGCGTCGACGTGTCGCGATGGCGGCGCCGCGGCGATGTCGCGGGCCTCGTCGCGGCGGCGTCGCGCGCGATGATTTCCGCGCCGGCCGCGGGTACACGTTGAAGCGCCCGATCGTCGCCGCGTCCACGGAAAAGCAGTCGGCGACGCGCAGCTCCCGGCGGTCCGCCGCGCGCGGGTCGAGGAACGTCTCCAGGTTCGCGAGCGCCTCGTCGCGCACCTCGGCGCCCGACTGTCTGATGTCCCCGACGAACGTCGCGTCGCCGCCGAACGCGTACGAGTCGACCGCCAGCGCGCGGTCGACCTGAAATTCGTTGCCGGCCAGCGCCTGCGCGGCGACGACGCGTCGACGGCGAGGGTATGGCGGCGGCGACGGGGCGGCGAGGATGCCACGCGGCGACGCGTCTCGAGTTCCGCGCGGGGCTTCGCGGCGACGAAATCAACCACTGGTTTGGGGGTCCTGACAAAACTTCAGAACTCTCTAGCTCGGTCAAATCGAAGTCGATTCTGCTGACTTTTAGACGAATCGACCGCTCTCGTCGAGCTCTCGAAGCACGGCAGAAGAGCTTGTGTGAACACGGTCGCTGATATGCACCTTGAAGTCACCTTGAAGATTTGATTTTGGCGCGGGCGCTTCGCGGCGACGAGCGTGCTCCCTTTGAAGGTGCCGATCTCCAAGTACCGCGAGCCGGCGGCGTTCAGCAGGTTGTTGAGGAGGTGCCGGCCGTAGGCGTCCGACATGCCCACGATGTCCAGCGCGCCCCGGTAGTCCGGCGCCGTCAGCGCCGAGAGCCCGCGCCGCGCCGCGCGGACTGCGAACGCCACGTGGGCCGCGAGGCCGTCCGCGCGGTCGCCCCAGCGGAACGCCGCGCCGACGGCCGCGGTCGGCGTCAGCAGCGCCCGGATCGGCGCCTCGGCCGCAACCTGGGCCGCCGCGACGTCGCGCGCCTCGGCGAGCGCCGCGGGCACCAGCGTCGCGACGTGGTCGTCGGAGATCCGACCCGCCACCACGCGGCGCAGCCCGTCCCGCACGAGCGCGGCGACGTCGTCATCGACTACGAGGCGCTCTCGATCTATACTCAGCCTGACGACGAACTCGTCGCCGGCGACCGAGAGGTCGTTCACCTCGAAGCTGATGTCGACGCCGGCGCCGGCGCACCGGGCCGCGCAGAGCAGCAGGACGGCGAACGCGCGCCCAGCCATCGATCCCGCCGCAGCGATGAATGCGGCGTGTCGCAGCGATGAATGCGGGGCCGCGCGGTGCTCGTGCGGTGGTTCTGGACAGGAGGTCCAGAGCAACAATGTCATACAATAGACTTCTAACCTACCTACTATTGTATCCGTCAGGACTATCATTGAACCACCTGTCGTACACAGAGCGCTCTCCCGGCCACACACGCCTCCGGCTGCGGGATTGCGCGACATCATCGTCTTCCTCGTCGCGGCGCGGATAATTTCGGTGCTTTGAACATGTCGTAACTCGGCGATGGCGCTGAGATAGCGCACGCAGCAGCTCGGAGAACGATAGTCCTCTCCGAAGCTTTGATAGTCCTCTCCGTCTTTGCGGCGGCACATCGTCGCGACGTTGCGCGGCGCGATGCTCGGGCTGCTTCAGGGCTCGGGTCCGGCCCCCGGGCCGGGCGCGGACCAGGCACCAGACACAAATTTAGTGTTTTTGGGTGCCCGCGAGGCTGCCCCGAATCGACTTGTTTGAGCGCCCACGACATGGCGCACAGCACTACGAGCCCGACATTGAGCACACGATGCTCGCAGACGGTTCGGGACCATCCATGGTGTCCATCGCGCGTCCAGGCATGCGCAGAACACACGAAATGGCCCGAATTGTGTCTGCAAGCGCGGGCCTTGCGAGGCCCGCGCGCGCGGTGTCGGAGCGAGGTAAGAACCGACGAGTGGCCGACAGCCGCCGCACGCGCGACGCGGGTACGACCCCCCGTGCGAGGGGGCGCGGGGTGGAGGCTGCTGGAGGCCGCGGCGACGCAGTTCGGCGTGGTTTGCCCCTAGTGTACGATTACTAGGTTAGAGGACTATCACTTCAAATGGCTTGTTCCCGGCGAGATTGAGGCCAAATGAGCTGATTTTTTGATGGAAAGACGTGCAACTAACCCGTTCTTGACATTCGGCGCCTTCGGCGCCTCTTTTTTATTATTATTTTTTTTCTTTTTTTCTCCTCGCCACTGGCCCCACATGAAAAAAGTGCCGGATTTCGGGGGACGCGAAAATCTGGGGAGCTGCGTGGTGCGGCGCACCATGGCGAATGTGCCGATTTATGGCTAGTGCACAAGATCCTGCACGAGAGGTCCCGCGCGGCGTCCGTCGCGGCGCCGCTAGGACGCCGCGTGCCACGCCATCGCTTGTCTGAACTTACACTACCACGGCGACATCAACGCCCACTACGCGGCGTTCCAGGAGGACGTCGACCTGTCGGCGTTCTACCCTTTCTACGCGCACGTCGCGTTCTTCGACATGCACCGGTCCGAGCGCTTCCGCACGTCCGGAGCCCTCGGCCGGTACCTCGGCGCGGCGCGGAACTACGGCTTCGGCGCCATCCGCGTCCAGATCGGCCGCCACGTGCGCATCGTCTCGAGCCACCACTACGTGGCCGCGCCCGACGTCGAGCTCGACGTCGCCCGCATGGCGCCCATGGTCCCGCCGCCGCTCTCGCCGGGCCACGGGGCGCCGCACTTCAGCTACCTGCCGCTGGACACCCTGCCGAACTCGCAGCCCGACGCGGACGGCGACGGCTCCACGGTCCCCGCGGCCGACGAGACCGCGGCTCCGGGGGAGCTACGCTCTCCCCTCGCGGGGGAGCACGGCTCCGCGTCCGCGGGGGAGCTTCCCGACGGCAGTCCGCCTGCAGCGGAGAAGGCGGAGCGGGATCGGGAATCTCCGAGGCTCGCCGATTATGGCCTGACTGGGCCTGCGACGACCGCCGGAAGTGCG